TACATTTGGTAGAGCGGTTTGCAAGGAAATGGCAGATTTTGTTAGGGAAAGGTAAATATATGTGCCTAATTCTTCCAACCCTTTCTCAGTAGCTTCTCTTCCATTCGATCAGTTTCATCGTTGACCATTTGCCCCCTCACCAAAGCATGCAGTGTCAGTGAGCTGTCAGTTTTGTGGATCGGCACGTGATACGTTTTTGACCAATCAGCAATAGCGTTTGGTTGAGACTCCTTCAACAGATCAAGTTGAGTCTATCTCTGTCATCTTTACTCCTTTGTCAACTTAAAAAACAATTTCATACCAAGCTGATGCTGATTTTCTTACTTCAAGAGCAATAATTGAAGACGTTTATGCCAAAAGTTTAGCGAAACTGGCCGCCTCTATTTACGGAGATCAGGAAGAAGGGTAGGAAATATTCATTAATTTTTGCACCTTTCTGCCACAACGCAAAACGCAAATTACATAAAAATGCCATAAATCATGAAACCTCCAGGCCTGAAAATCCAGCTCAGTATGATACTGTATATTTGTTGTTCTTTTTAGGACGCTTGGCAGAGCGTGGAAACATCTTAAGACGAAACTACAAGAGGAAGCGAGCGCTCACCAAGCCTTCGCAGTAAAGGTAACACATACGAAACGTCGTTATGAGCGACAAAGCTTCATTCCGATCCGTATACCCAGATTGTCATCGCTACTAATAGCTACGTGGGGGTTCCTTACTTGCATCCGGGAACTAAGCTGAATGGACCTATTCCCTAATGAACAAAATTTTGATCTAGACAAGTCTAGACAAAAATTTCATCACATTTCATTTTAGTAATGAAAAAAGGTATCAATTTCCCGTGCGTAATAAAAAATAACTGAAAAAATGGCAAACTTCGCAGGGCTATATTATCTGCATTTTACAACATTTCGCAACGCAACTTCGGAATATTACTAATTTTGTCATGTTCTTTCAAGTTGTGATGAAATTTTTGTCTAGACTTGTCTAGATCAAAATTTTGTTCATTAGGGAATAGGTCCATTACGTACAATAGGACGCATCTCAATCTGATCGAGTCGAAGGCTTTCTAAGGTCGCCTCTGGCAGCCTAGCCTCCTGCGCAGACGTTGTTAGTGGCCCGAGGCCTCACCTGTCTGATCACGGAGCACAGCTACGGTGGAAGGGTCAGTTAGGGAGCTAATCCCAACCGTATCAACATTCCCTGTGGGAGGAAACCGGAGTACCAGCCAGGTGATCTTGATACGCGAAAAAGTACTGGCACTAGTTGTCAAATAGAAATCCATTTTATAATTAAAACAACTGGATATCTCCTATAATATACTTTATTTTGATTCCATATTTTTGTCAGAGCTATAGTTCTCATAACCAAACATAATTACAAAATTTCAACTAGTTTCATAAATAATAATGAAAGATATAATTGACTGAATACATCAAAATGGATGTCTATTCGGACAACCCTTTCTGGGCGCTGATTGGCTAAAATACGAACACGAGATCACCTGGAGGAGAAAACCAACGATTCCTTTCGGCAGAGCGTTGACTGACTCTTTTCACGTGAATATCACGAGACCGTAGCGACGCACGATGGTGAAAGTCGCCTGCTTTGACGATTGCACCACCGAAGAAGTATTTGCTAATAAAAGTTTGGAGTTTAGTCCATCCCTTGTAAAGTACTATACGGTTGTGAATATACTGTATATATTTTGTTTTCGCAATTCAATGTGATTCTATTTTTTGACATTGTAGTTGGTTAATAAGGTGCAAAAACCAATCCAAACAAAGGTCGCGGAAGAACAAAAAGCGGACAAAAAGATGGTAAGATGAAAAAAACTAATAGTTCCATTGGGATCAACATAGTTTGGGAATAATTTTCGTGGGCGGAGTAAAAAGGTGCCGCGCTCCTGCATCATCAAACCTCCAATCCTCTGATAAAAAAGAAAAAAGAGCACACACAATGGGTACATACTGCACTAACGCCCATCTGGTCCAGAAGCAAAATTTCTCCCTGATACCGCTATAACTATCATGGGCGGTGCTCTGTCACGTCGAGGTCCGGTGGACAAGTTGTCCCTCTGCCCTTCCCCCTTGCGGTGGCGCTGAGTATTCGGCAAAGCGTTCTATGAAATTTTTGCACGTCGAAACAATAGAAGATTTGTCCCAATATATAATAAGACCCTGAGTTAACGCACATCGTAGTAAAGGTTGTTAAAAGCTAAAGAGATTCAGGTGTAATCAGGTTGTTTTTGTTTTTGGTTGTTTAGCATGATCAATTCAAAGATTTGCTTCACGAAGATAGGAAGGCTGTCTCTTCATCGTTTGCTTTGGTTGAAAAGGTTTGGACATGAACATAAAGTTCTCGAGTAACGAGTACAATATGGAAAGCGACTCTATATGTGCGAATTCACTCAATAGCGGCTCATTTTTGAGCCGAAAGTGGTTATTTTTATCGCGCGTAATACAAATATATACAAAATTTGCGAACTTCAAAGAGCTACTATATTTTCTTCATTTTACAACATTTAGCAACCAATCTTTGCAGTTTTACACATTCTAAGACGCTCTTTCTAGCTGTGGTAATGGTTTCGTTCTTCTTGCCTTGATCAAAATTTAGTCTATATTTGTCTATAGCTAGAATCATCCATTGTGGGTGTAGAGAGAAAGACATAAAATTGCATATGACCTAAATGAAAAATTATTGTATTTTTTTAATCAAGGCTCGCGAAAGTGTAGCGGAAAAACAAAAGGCTGTTGGCGAGAAAGAAATTACAGCACAACAATCTTCCAAGGTAATTCGAACAAACAAAATTACTAAGAATTGTGCATATATATATATATATATCTATCTATAATATATGCAATTGAGTTAAGTTTTGGGGAAATGGGGTAGAAAGTCCAGAATACTGTAGCTAGGCTTCATTGTATATAAGCTGAGTATTGAACGAATCAGACGAACTTTGGTACCTTGAAAAGCAGTTGTTGTATGACTCGGGCGCATAACTACGAGTTTAGGTTTGGATGCATGTTAAAACGAAAAAATGTCAGTGTCATAATCTGTGGGCTCGTTTTCTTGCTCCCCTGCACTCACTTCGTTAGATACCATGCATCTAAAGCATATATATGAATCGGCCCGACTAAAATCGCATCGTGCACGCTCGAATCGTAAACCCTTTAAAAATATTTTTCCTTTGTTTCAAGGCTTTAGACAAATACGAAAAAGCAGTGAAGAAAACGGTTCAAGCTGGTATACAAGTTTTCAAAACTTTCCTAACTTGTTTGGGTATTCTTGTGTTCAAGATTTTATCTTTTCTTATCACTTGAAGGTCACGGACATCGGAAAGCCGTTGAAACGTACAACGCAAGTCAACGAAAATGGGTGGACGACATGGTTTCTGCTTGTTCGGTATGTTTGTTTCTGCAGAAAACACAAGAGAACAGCGAACAATTCGTCTCCAGATGTTGTATAATTGTTGTATCCTATCTTGAAGTTCGTAAATACATTACACACGTAAAAACGCACAAGTTGTAACAAACCTTGTCCGAACACATCTTGTTGACAAGCTGTTAGATTTTTACTTGTGTACCATATTTAAATATTTTTAGACGTTAGAAAAGCAAGAAGTAGACCGAGTTGAATTTACCAAGAAGCAAATTATGCTGTATGTGTTTTTGAGGAAAGAAGTGAATGAAATATGCGAAAAGGTAACAAAGGTTCCGTTATCACAGTCTTGCAAATACTGTAGTTGCAATACCCTTTCCGACTGCACACATGAAAACGCACAAGTTGTTACAGGTCTGCAAACAAGTTGTTACAAATCTGTTCACAAGCTGTTGACAAGTTGTGTTCGTACTGCTTGTTCCCAGTTGTTGTAACAAGTTTGGAACAAGCTGTTAACAACTTGTAACAAGCTTGATGGCATTATCCGACTTGTTACAAGGTTGTTCTAACAAGTCTGATACAGTCATGATATAACAAGAATGTTACAAGGTTGACGACACAAGGTTGACGTAACAATATTGTTATATTGGTTGCGCACAGCGGACTGCTGTCACGTGATATCATCACTGTATTGGACTTGTTGGAACAACCTTGCAACAAGTCTGGTAATATCATGTGAGATTTTTTTGCGTGTGCAAGGGAGGATTTCCACTCACAGAGAAATATTTCGCTTGATTTCTTTTGAATTGTGACCATCAGTTCTACCTGACAGCTCACAATTCAAACGAAATTGAGCAAAGTGGAAATCCAGCTTAATTCCACAGTCGCTCAAAATTGTTTCGCAAATGATACATGGGAATACTCCAACCAGAACTATAGGACGTAAAACCAGGCTGTTCTAGCGTTGTGAAAGTTCTGTACATGTTTTAGGCCATGGAAGAAATTGTTAGCAAAGTGGATGAAGTTGACGCTCACAAAGACAGAAAATTATTCATAGATAAGTGTGGAACAGGTTCATTACGACCGGTGGACATGCCGTAAAATACCTGGTAGTATTTAGGGATAGCAATTCTGCCAGGGGGTAGTTGGGTACATGCAGAATCTATAGACATGCATGATAAATAATTTATCCAGTCTTTGGCGACGTGAATCACAATTGTTAAAAATTTTATCCAGTCCTATATAGGGCTTCATGAAAAACTGCTTTATCCTGCAGTTTCATGACTTGAGCAAATTATCCAGTCTTACAACGGATTTTTAATCACTATTCGGCCTTCGTACAGCCGGGACCAGTAATACAAGGATCGGTTATTATTTATGGCGAGGGGTGGCACCGAAGAGAAAAGGGTTAATAGGTAAACCAAATTTTGAGTGAGTAAAAGGTTGGGTAAATGAAAAACAAAACAACTCAAGGGTTGGGTAATAAGGATTTATTGTCATTCCCAAAACATGACTCACTCAATTATTGAAAGTACCTATGTCATGATTTGGGATTTTAAATATTTTTTATCTTTGGTGCATTTTATGAAGAAATGCAATATATCTTTATAAGAAAATATACCATCTTCATAGGATTATCAGCCCTCAAAGTTACCGGATATGACGTCAAATCGGGAATTTTATACGCTAGAAACAAAAGAAATCTAATTTGCAATTCCCAGTTTGATGTCATATCCGATAACTTTGAGGCCTGATAATCCTGTGAAGATGGAACATTTTCTTTTAAAGATATATTGCATTTTTTCATAAAATATACCAATGATTACAAATAATAAATTACACAAATCATGACATAGGCACTTGAAGACTAAAAAGCATGACCAAATGGTATTATCATAATCAAGTACAAATTACTAACATCATTACCACATCGTTTCAACCCTATACAGTTGCAAAGAACATTCCAGGTTATGAATATGCCATCTACAAAAATATTGGGAGATCAGCCCCCCAGAACGGCATGAAATTTTTACACCACATGTAAAATAATTTTATTATTTAATTTTCACAACTGAAACAAGTTACAAATTGTACGCGCAAATATCGTAATTTGTACAAATAATTTCATATACATAAATTTTGGGTACATATAATTTGATAGAAATAAAGTATTTTTATGATATAATTGAAATAAATTCTTACTGCTCTTTTTGTGCGTATATTTAAATGTTTCGTGTGCAAGCCATATAAGCAATCCTGACTGATAGGAACAACTAGCAGCTTTGGAACTCTATAGGTAGAACCGACAGGCATTGTCCAATATAAAGTTAAATAGTTAATTTAGGACACAGAGCGATTTTAATTGGAAAAGTAAAGTTTACACAGTGTTTTTCTGTTCATTATGAGAATGTTGTTTGAAAATATGTTTGTTTAAAATGGGTGGTTACTCGGTATAGTATTATACTGTAAATCTCCTATTCAGTTTGCTGTCAAATAGGCTTGCCCCTCTAATATGCCCACCTTTCTAGAATTTTTTTTAGTAATTACTGTACTGGTTGCAAAAAGAAATTTCGTAAGCTTCCCCTTCATAAACTATCATAACCTCTTTCTTTATATTTTTGTTGCGGCAAAATTTCATTGTTCTCTCTTGGCGTTTGGAAAGTTTCAAACACATTTTATTTCAATTTTCAAACAAAACGCCTTATTTCTCGTTCTTGCCGTGCATTTATCCAACTGGTGTCAACGCTATCAGAAGTCATTTTGGAGCGCCACATTGTGAAAGATCAAAGTTTAAAGTTGCAAACTTGCAAGCAAATATAAAACGTCAAAGTATGGCTACCAGTTCACAAGTAGGGGAGAAAAAAGGCAACCGTTTGTTGAAAGAAAGGTCACCATATCTTCTGCAGCATGTTTATAATCCCGTTGACTAGTGAGTTTAATTGATACTGTTGTTTGTTTGTACACGTTTAACTTTTGAAAATTGCACATTCTTGAATGGATGAGACTGAAATTATGTGACATATTTTGTGGGAGTTGTCCAAAGGGAAGTCCACTTTTGTGGATCATGGAAAGTATTAAGTGCTGTGTGCCGGGCATGTCCGGTGCACAAGCAGCAGTGCATATCATTAGTACATATCAGTACACGTTCCATTTCATTCCTTACAGGTTTGTGGACCCTACCCTGCTAGCAGTGGTTTCTGAGCTGAGCTTGGACCCCTGCATTAGTTAAAACAGTAGCTAAAATTTGAAAAATTTTACCTATTTGTTTTATATAGAGAAAGGGTTAAAAATTATCATGATGCCCTGTTAAGGCCCGTTTGCTGTACGTACGCTTGAATACCCTTGCAAATTTTGCTGCTATTTTCTTCTTTTAATGCATGTGAAAGAGTGGATGAATTATGAATGTTCTTTATACATGTACCCTTGTCCGAACATTCATAGCTCATCCTTCACGTCCATCACAGGAGGAAAGTTGCAGCAAAAATTGCAAGTGTAAACGGGCCTTTATGATAATTCTGATTGCCACATTGTGTTGAACAGCCATTATGTAGGGAATAAAACAACAAAGAACACAAAACTGTAACATTACTAGTTTGGAAATCTGACAGGCAAATAGAAATACCCAACCCCATTAATGCCCTAGATGAGTAAAATCATCTTGTGAATAGACAGAGTAAACGGATAAGTTGGGTGCGGAATAAAGTTTGGACAATGAGTTCTATTTTCAAGGTATCCTTGACCTTGGGGGAAAGAAGCATATTTTGAAAAATCAAGAAAAGAACAGAAGCCTATCTTTTTGTCAGGTTTGTGAGTAGTTACGTTGTTTAACTTTCAATTGCGTGCAAGTTTCTAATGATATGGGAAATTGGAATTTGGCAAAAATTTGATAGTAGGGATAAGATGCTGAGTTAGTTTCTGGGGTTTGAATTTGGAAGTTGTGACTTAAATTTTAAATCCAAAGCAGTGTTTCCACATTTAAAATTGGAATTTTCATGAAGGGAATTTGCAAGTCATACTAAAAATTATTTTGCAGTTCTGGACTTTCATATCCTGAAAAATTAGGGTAAATGGATCGGAGAATAAATTTTTTAAAAATTTTTTTTGCTTGACATGGACTAGGCATGGACAATGGTATATAAATTAGTGAGCAACAGAAAAGTTGGATTGCATGGTAGGTTAAATAACCACACAGGTCCACACCATATAAAAAACATTAGGGTCCGGCCTGAGGTTTTGCAGTAGCCAAGGTTAACAGCTAGGTAACCTTGCTTGGATAAGTGGCATAAGTCATTACAAGATATGACTCAGAAGAATATGTAACACGACATGAGTGTGGTGAGAGCATTAGGAGCAATTAATTTGTTGTTGTTATGATTTGTTTTAACGAAGTGACTATATGACCGGCAGCCGGTCACGGTTTATAAAATACTAAATGGCCGGCAGTCTAGTGACTATAGTTGAATATAAAAACTTTTGTTTGCGTTAGCTTTTACCGAGCTTGCCGTTAGCTCATACGGCAAGGGCGCT